CTGTGGAATTCTTGCATTTTAAAGGAAGATTATGGTGTTAGGAATACAAACTGGTAATTTAGTGTTTGCCATACAACTACGGTAATAGAATACAACTTTTACTCACATTTTTCCCATTCTGAGGCCCCCTCAATGCTTACAATAAAAACCAAAGAAAAGAGTTACCTACGCACTGTCCCAAACCCCATGCATATTTAAATAACTAGAGGTTATCAAGGAAGCATGGTTATGGAGAAGTACTGCGACCTGATGTTCATGACTATCTCATAGGAAAGCATTGAATTTAATGCTTTCCTATGATCTCCTGTATCACATGACACGGTTTAGTGGAAAGGCAGCCACTAGAGGTGTATTTACCTTGCAATGTAAACATTGCACTTTCTACTAAAATGCTTTGTTTTACATTGCAGGATAAAAATGACAGATCCACTGCCCCCACACTTTAGTGGTCCTTTAAGCATCCTAAGTGCCCAGGGGGGTCTGCCTTGACATTGGCAGGCAGGCATTCCCTCCAATGGCCATTGGAGTAACTAAATGACCTCCATTTGTCTAAATATACATAGGGATGAAGGAGAGAGTGCAGTTACATTTTTTTTTTCTTTGGTTTTTATTATATATTGGGGCTGATGTGTAGTGTGGTCGTTGCTGCTGCCCAGTAGTGATGGGAGTGAGCAGACTTTAGCTCTACAATAATTAACGTGAGTTTATTGCAACCAGTATTCCAAGATAAGAGGACATAGTCTTAAATTAGAGGGACAAAGGTTTAAAAATAATATCAGGAAGTATTACTTTACTAGAGGGTAGTGGATGCATGGAATAGCTTTCCAGCTGAAGTAGTAGAGGTTAACACAGTAAAGGAGTATAAGCATGCATGGGATAGGCATAAGGCTATCCTAACTATAAGATAAGGCTAGGGACTAATGAAAGTATTTAGAAAATTGGGCAGACTAGATGGGCCGAATGGTTCTTATCTGTCGTCACATTCTATGTTTCTATAAAATAAACAAGGGACTTGGGTACTTAATGCTTTAAGTAAATTGAACTCATAAGCTAACAATGAAGATTAAAACACAGTTTCCCTTTAAGGCTGCATTTGCTCCCTATCACCGCTAATTGAGGGCCTTTAGTCCTGTGCAGCTGATGATATGTTAACTTTCAGATAGAGAAAGGGAAGCAGTCCTGTAGGAGCCAAGGTAATACAGCTATGTATGCTATATATTATTAAAGTGTTTGACTGATTTGTGTATGGATACTTTAAATACTTGCAACCTCTGTTTTGTGGTTAGAAGACAAATTCTGAGTACCAATATAAAACCTTTATTTGAATTATCCAATGTAAAGGCATTTAGATGAACTATATTGATTTGTGTTTTCACTTCCGAAAATGATTAGCTCCCAAAATTATTTCCAATTGAATTTAACTGTCTACATGTAACATTAAAAGAAAATATGTTGTAGCCATTTGGATGGCAATTAGCCCTTTCAACCAAACTATATTGCTGCAAAATTATAGACTTGCTAAAGGGAAGAATTCCCCAAAACTCATCACTATAAATTTCTGTTAGTCCAATAAAAAAAAAAAACAAAAAAAAAAAACGTAATACATCATTTAGCATTTAAATCACTGGACTTCTATGGAAACTCAATTATCGTGACATTTAACGTGTGTGTGTGCGCGCGCACTTTTCAAGTACTTTGCAAAACACGATTGATCTGGATTCTTGCTTCCATTAGTAGTGCACACCTTGTTATTTAAAGTATGGAGAGTTTTGTTTACTGGTTAGTTTTCACAAGCAAGTCCTGGCAAGCATTGTTTAAGTCTTTTAATGTTTACGGACTGAAGCCCTCTCAGCTGTGCTGTACTTATTTGCAAATACCTTACAGTGGATCCTTGATTGACTTGTACATTTCTTAACACAGAATGTTTGGTAATATGTGCAATTTTAGGTTGTTTTTTTTTGTTTTTGTTTTTTCCAATTGCCTCATTTTGTGATACTGCTCAGCAGTGGTTGGTATTTAATTTGACCACTTTTTAGCCTGAAGTTCAAACGCTACATAATTGCCATACTTGCCTGTCCACTTTCAGGGACAGAGGTGGACAGGTTAAAGAACCGGCTTCACTGGCACTGTGCAAGGGGTGGTCTGCCTCCCAAAGGTGTGGGACACCCCTAAAGAGGGTGACCTGGCGACAGCCTGCTGCCTCAATCAGACCATGCATTGATGAAGAGCTCTGTGTATCGTCCTGGTGCTCAGTCCCATCTGCCAGCAGACTTCAAAGTGTCCCTAAGGCCAGGTTTGCAGGGACAGTCCGAACAAACTCAAGACAGTTGGCACCCATGCTACATTCAAGACTACTAGTAAATGTCTAGAGATCCAAGTTATTTTTATTCTTGAATGACTTAACTGTAACTCTTGCTATCCGTATTTATTATATAACGCAAAAAAGTCAACAAAAAGAGGGCCTGTAAGGAAGGATCCAACAGTTTATTTTTTGCCAAATGTTTATTGAAATTGAATTGACATAAGATCAAAGATGAGATGGTATGAATCAAAACGTCCATACAAAATCTCAATGTACAGGCTGTCCACTGCTGCATGTATCTCCAAAAATAAAAAAAGTCAACAGGGCAATGGCTGGTTTTCAGAATGGCTTCAAAAATTTTAATTTTATAAATGGCTATAAGGGTTACTACTGCCCCCAAAAATCATTGTTTTAATTAAAAAAAAAAAACAGAGAGAGAGAGAGAGAGAGAGAGAAACATTTATCCTGGCCCACGCTCTACTCCCAATCAAACTTTTAAAAACACTATACATTAGCCATTCACCTCTTTATGGTTGGGCATGCCACCTTTGCCAAACCCACCTATTTGGATGGATATCCCTCCTGCACTATTCCCTGTCCACCTGCATCCCAGAAAGAGAGAGAGAGAAGTATACATGCAAAGAAATTCACAATGGCTTTGCAGCCATTTATTAGAGTAAAGATTTATAAAATTATTCTTTAGAAGAAAATGAAAATTGCACAAAATAAAAATACATTTGAAATATATATACACCAAACAACAATAATACTAGGACAAAGACAGTTACATAATAATGTTAGAAGCAATGACATGGTGTGGATGGCCAGCACTGAAATGGCTTCTCAAAGATTTTTAAGCTGCGCATTAGATTGGCAATACATGTCATTACCAGGTCTTCATTCAACATAACGCATGTGCACTTCAACAGAATGAAGCTTGGCTGGTAAACAGCAGATAGGTAGGCTTTCTAATGAAATATTGAACAAAATCTATACATTTCTGGTAATTTCGCTAGAGATATATATATATATATATATATATATATATATATATATATATTCCATTTCCAGTCATTGCAAATAAGCATAAGCCCAGGCTCTAGCTGGCATCGTATGCTGCCTTATGAGTAAACTGGCTTTGAGCAAATCCACTAAGCAGTATATGTGGGGGGAGACTATATTTATTTATTTAAAATTTTTTTTTGTTCCACCAGTATACATTTTAATAAAGTTTGTGTATTTTCTCAAAGTACAGGTCAAACATGTATACAACAGAATAAGTAGATGATGGCCATTGTATACAAAGTACAATATTCCTACAATCAGGGCCGTCTTTTATAATGATTGGACCCTGGTCAAGTTTTCATTTGGGCCCCCTGGACCATGCCTCCCCACTCCCTGTCATGCAATCACGGCATCCATGCCAACACAGTGGCGGAACTAAAGTAGAAAGAGCCATGGCAATAATTATATTGGGGCCCCCCAATTGCAAGGTTAGACAAAAGGTAGAACCCTATCTATCGTGCAAAGCCAACAATGCTTTGACAGCTGGGGCTCTACCAGTTTCCCCTGTTTGCAAGGTTGTATTTACCACTGAGCTGTGTTCGTGTGTTTGAATATAAGCATCTGTTTGTATGTGGTTTTGAAGTTTAAATGCAAGTGTGCATTTATGTGTAGTGTTTTTGAATGTAGAGGTTTGTTTATATATAATTTTGAATCTAAAATATATATATATATTCTATCTTAATGGCAGTGGAGGTGTTTTATTGTAAGTAGATTCAATTCTGATGAATTATTTTAAAATAATGTGGAAAAATTTAATATATTCAATTACCTTTTCTGCAGTTAGAACAACTGTGTGAAAATATATAGATGTTGACAGAACGCGTTCTATGTGTACGTTTTGCTAACCATTTCCTTTTAATGTAATGCATGGTCTTAAAAGGTGTGATTTTGTTTGGGTACAGTAAATGATACTGAATTAAATAATTGTAAAAATTGTTTAAATTCTTAAAACATTACTCCAGGTGTTCACACTATTTTGGGCAAAATATAATGGTTAGATTACAGCGAAGTATGATAGAGATTATATATATATTGTGTGTAGAAAGGCCATTAGGCCTGAATTTGTGGGAGGAGTAAGTCCCCTACTTAAGCTCCCAGCCCCTACTCACCGCTGCCGCTCAGCTGATTGTCCTTAGCAACCAGCACTTCCGGTCCAGCTTCCCGCCAGAACTGTACCTGTTTCCAGCAGCCAGAGGCCCTGTGCAATCCTCCGTCCGTCCGAGGTCCTTCCACTCCGTTTCCCTCCGGTCGAGGTACCCGACTCCCGGTCACGAGACCGGCGCGTTCACGTAAGCAAGGCGTGGGAATTAGCGTTCGCTATTTCCCCGCCGTTCGGGCCTAAAAACGTAGGGGTAGGCTCCCTCTTTCGCATTTTCACGAATACACGCTTTTCGTTATTATCTCCATTCGCGCCAAAAAACGCACGAACGTTCGGCTCATTTCGCTATCAGTTAATGCATTTTCATACGGAAAAACCGAATAAATATTTCATGTTTAAGCTCATTATTATCTGTATTCACTTTTCCGTTCGGTTATTTCAGCACCAACCTATTCGTATGGTTAAATTCACGTACACCATCTTACTAATTTACATTCGGTTATTTCTACGTACACCATCTTACTAATTTACATTCGGTTATTTCTATTCTTTTAAGCTAAGCTTGCATAAGTTCTAATCACAGTCCTACTATTATTTATTCCTTCATATGAGTTTGCGGTTACATTATATGGTTAACTACCAGCCCTGTGTTTTCCTACCTTGTTAAACCATTTAAAGTATTTTTCTGTAATAAACATAATGTTCACCACGGTTCATAACTTCATACGTGTCTAAATTCAAGCTATACCATTCTTTCCTAATAACACTCAGATAAGTCTTTTAAACACTATTTACAAGTGATACCCTTTACACATAATCCGTACTATTCCTTGCACATAAATCACGCTGTCACATCTTTTGGCTTTTACAGATTGCATCGGTCTCTTGCTTTTCTGCATTAAAGTTGTTATTTCAAGGTCCTTTTATTACAGGAACAGGTATGGTTTATTATCACCTTGAGTTATCAGGTTTTATCAATTATCTTCACATCTATTGCTAACTATGGAATTTGTCTTGGTTAAACCCTTAGATCCTGTATTAATCTAAGCTTCCACCGTTTCTACGCAGTTAACCTGCCACGATTAAACAATCTCTGTACTTTAAACAAAGGTATAGTTCACTCTCTTTTCAATACTAGACCTCACGCGGTCTCAACTCCATTACTACCTTCCCTCAGGCTTACGCCCAGGATACGTTATCTCTTTACTACTTGTCTACACAGACTTTCGGTCATACGGCCACCAGGCTCAAGAAGACACCAAAAACCTGACCCGGTACTCAGCCATACCTTCAGGTACTTACATCCTTACTCAAGTACGTCCATTCGCTACCCCAAGGCCTCATTCTGCCTTCTCACTCATATCCAAAATCATCCCATTCCTACACCTAAACCTCCCAGATCCCTCAATGCAGGATCTCACGTCGTGCCCCTAACAAACCTTCTCCCTATACTATTCATACGACATCACGATACGTATAAACACATCAACATCTGTCTTAAACCCCCAGGATTCTTCCTCAAAGACAACATTTAAGACAAGACTCTCTACACTTACCAGGAGGCTCCAGATACCATTTGCGACCAGTCAAGGTTAGTATCCACACACCATTCCAGTCCTCTAACTTTACCCTTTAGCATACTATCGAACTGGCTATACGGCACAGGCTAATGCCTTAGCCCACCCTATCAGGAAATCTGATCCCGCGAGGCCTACCACCCCCACCCCACCTCAACACGGAGGTACGGCCCCACGCCCAAATCATAGTTATAAGCCTTGCATGCCTTACTACAGGGCTCTAGTTAGGGCCTCACCTGTCACGGCCACACGTTTTGATTTCTCTTATCGTCACCGAGAGGCCAACATCCCGCCACCACGTCTGTGGCACCTACGTCATAAGCCAAATCATAGGTAGAGCCTCTCACCGCCACTTGGCATTAGCAGGGCCTCACCTATCCAGTCATTCAATAGTTAAGTTTTTCGCCTCGGCATCTAGCATTAAAGTCCAGTTCTTCAAGACACACCACTCCCCATACCCCCCCCCTTCTTACCTCACTCCCCTTCTAATATATCTTTCACATAATCATTCCTTTTTAGAATGTCCCAAGAACCAATTCCAACCGAAGAACTGACAGAAGAAGCACCATTCACGCCAATCAGACCCGTGTCTCCAGGCGAATCACTCACTCTTTCAACCCCCACGTCCTTGAGAGCATGGACTATTCCCAAAATCACAGCCGAGCTTAGGCTCAGGGGAATCCCCTTTCCGGCCACAGCTAGAAAGGCAGAACTTTACAGGCTGCTTACCCACCAAGTCCCCGAGCCTCGGCCGGGAACTAGCTCTCAAGGACAACCACCAAGTAACAGCACGGCCACCCAGGATACCCTGGCAGATATCTTGGCCAATCTACAGACCCTCAATAGCAGGCTGTCTAAGGTGGAGAGCGCCATCTCCTCCTCAGGTACTAACACCGTAGTCCCAGTCTCTACCACGGCTGTACCTGCCATACCTTCATGTCCCTCTATACTCCCCCCTCCAGCACCTGGCACAGCCATCACACCTTTCGAGTCACCAGCACACTCCGTCCCAGATTCTATCAGGAAAGATATCCTTGACGGGAAGGATGTGTGTCTGGTGTCTTTACTCATAGCCTCTCAGGATGTACTCGAGAACAAGGCATACAATTATGGTGACATCTCTGTTGTGCTTAAAACGAGGGATCCCAGGCTTAATAAAAAATTGTCTATCCCACAGTTTGTGATAGCTTTTGGGATATACCGCGACGTCATTTGCACGGTGTATCCCCATAGGAGAGAAGAGCTAGATCTCTATCTCCACAAGGTAGTGGATCTAGGCATCAAGTACGGGGGCTCTTCCTTCTATGACTACCACAAGTCAGTCTCAGCAAGGCGGCGACCCATCTCAAGCAGTTCAACATTAGAATGAACTGGGGTCAGATGGACACTGAACTTTTCTGTCGCCACTTCGCTGGACTCAGGCCCCCGGCTTGTGCCATCTGTAATTCTACATCCCACATGGCGGACTTATGCCCCGTCGAACCAGATCCCACCACCTCCACTCTCACCCCTCACCCCACGTTCACACCTCACTCCTCTTTCACCCCTCACAAGCCAGCGGGTGGTCTCCGGGATAAGCTGGGTAGGCTCATCTCCTTTTTAGGTAAAGCACAGGTGTGCAATAATTTCAACGCAGGCTCCTGCAGTTTCAGCGCCTGTAGATTATTGCACATCTGCTCCATATGTTTCAGGGCACATACCAAGACCATGTGTCCAGCCAGGTTGTCACCAAACAAATGACTAACCGACATAAATATCGACAACCTGGTTTTTTATCTAAGGTGTCACCCCAGCAGGCACTTAGTGGATTTTCTCACCACAGGTTTCTCACAAGGGTTTCACACAGGCATAATAGCCATTCCCCCAGGTACACTAGAATGTCCTAATCTCCAGTCTGCACGTTTAGACCCAGTCGCTGTAGACACTCTCATTTCCGCAGAAACCACAAGCGGTTTCATGATCGGTCCTTTCACCTCTTCACCGTTTTCCTCCTGGCGCACTAACCCTATTGGTATTGCTATTCACAAATATTCTAATAAAAAACGTCTCATTATCGATTTATCGGCACCGCACTCCTCTTTTGTTCCAAGCATAAACGCACTCATTCCAGCAGACGAATTCTCTCTGCAGTACGTCACCATCGACGACGCCATACAGTCCATCATGACATCTGGTAATCGACCCTGGCTCAGCAAAACAGACATCACTAACGCCTTTAAATTACTGCCCATACACCCCTCACTCTGGCACTTACACGGTGTTAAATGGCGAGGGTATTATTACTTCTCAACACGACTCACTTTTGGTTCCCGAAGCAGCCCCAAACTTTTCGACATTTTCGCAGAGTCACTATGCTGGCTGCTTCTGAACGTCATCAGGTGTCACTCCGTTATTCACTATCTAGATGACTTTCTACTGATAGAGCCAGGGTCATCAACACCCACAGCAATCAATAGTACTACTGCACTTTTTTCCACACTTGGAGTCCCTTTGTCCCCAACCAAAACTATAGGACCCACAACAAAGTTGACCTTTTTAGGCATAGAGCTCGATTCTGTCAAACTCAGAGCTAGCCTTCCACACGACAAACTTTCACGATTGAGAGGGGAGATAGACACGTTCCTGCGGAATGACGTTTGCACCAGGAGAGAACTTCAGTCCCTTCTTGGATCTCTGAACTTCGCCATGCGCATCATTCCGCAGGGAAGGTCTTTTATTTCCAGACTTCTTTGCCTGCTCCATGGAGTCCCGGACTCCGGCACAGTTTCTTTGGACCCCCACGCCAAGGCTGACTTAGCTATGTGGGGGAAGTTTTTGAAAGACTGGAATGGTATCTCCATGTTTATCCCCCCTCTCTCCACCTCTTCACCCATCATCCACACAGACGCAGCAGCCAACACCGGTTTCGCAGCCATTTTCGGGAACCACTGGTTTAGGGGCCACTGGCCCACTGAGACGGATGCCTTGCCAGGATTCAGGGAGACCTCAACCCTATTTGAAATTTACCCCATTGTGGCGGCCGCACACACCTGGGGTCATCTCTGGTCCGGCAAGGCAGTAAAATGCTACTCAGATAACTCGGCAGCTTGCGATATTATTAACAAAGGGCGCTCATCATCCCTGACCATCATGCGGCTGATTTGCAAGTTGACCTGGCTGGCAGCATCCAATCAGTTTCACTTAGTATGTTCTCACATCCCGGGTATTCACAACACCGCCGCTGACGCTCTTTCTCGTTCTCGATTCCAGGCATTTTCTCAGGCACTCCCAGCAGCTCACCATCAGCCATCCAGGACACCACGGTTTCACGAACTAATATTGGATTAAGCACACTCTTGCTTCACGCTAGATCACTCACTCACCAAGCATTATCACCCAACACTGCTATCACTTACAATAGGGCACTTAACATATTTAACAAATTCACTGCAGAATTCGGGCTACAAGGTGACTTTTCTATCCAAACCATGGTGTCTTTTGCCTCTTTCTGCCACCTACACCTTAATCTGTCACACAACACCATTAAACTTTACCTCACCGGGGTTCAGCACCACAGCCTCACCAATTTTCCTAACAGCACCCCCTTTTTGTCTTCATACCCCATAAAAAAGGTCTTGAAAGGTATATCAAAGGTTTCACCACCACTCGCAAGCACTAGATTACCCATAGACGGGCCTATCTTCAGGTCTCTTAGCAATCTCCTTGACACAGCCCCATTTGATAGCTACACCAATACGGTGATAAAATCTGCCATATATCTCGCTTTCTACGGTTTTCTCAGACCTAGAGAGTTCACAGTGATTTGTCAAGGAGATATCGCACGATGCCTTAAAACTTCACACCTCACCAAGGTAGAGGATCACTACCTCCTTTCTATCCCTACCACTAAAACCAACCGGTCAATACATCCTACAATAATTCCTCTCTTCCCTACTGATAATGCCTGGTGTCCGGTGAAAGTTCTCGACCAACTACGGTCAACTCTTCGCACTCACCTGCCAGACTCTCCGCTCTTAACATTACAAGGGCACCCGCTTACCACGGCAAAATTGATGTCACATGTCAGAACCCTGTTATCTAAGCTCGGACACAATCCGGCTGCATTCTCCGGGCACTCCTTCCGCATAGGAGCCGCCTCAGCAGCCTCAAGCACAAACGCACCGGTCCACATCAACAAAAGGCTCGGGCGATGGAAATCCTCCATATATAACGCATATATTCCGCAACCAGAG